GGCGGAGGGGGCAGTGAGCCAAGATTATGCCACTGCACTCCAGCCTGGGCAACAAGAGCGAGACTCCACCTCTAAAAAGAAAATAAAATAAATAAAAGTTTTAAAATAAATAAATCTTATTAAAAATACATCTGTAAAATAAGATCTTTTTGAAAAATTATTTCATGTAGCCTCAGATGAATATTGCCTATTTCTAGAATAAGACAGGGTTTATCAATTTCAATTCTATCTCCATTTTTCAATTTTTATAGATAATGAGAGCGGAAACCACTTATTCAAATTAAAAAACTGGAATGGAAAGAGATTTACCATAGCAAGTTATTTGGATTCCTTTCTAATTATATGCCAAAAATTACAGTAATCTAGTAATCTGTTATCAAAAATCATTCTTTTTTTTTTTTTGAGACAGGGTCTCACTTTATCACCTAGGCTGAAGTACAGTGGCACAATCTCAGCTCACTGCAGCCTCGGCCTCCTGGGCTCAAGTGATCCTCCCACCTCAGCCCCCCAAGTATCTGGGACCACCACACCTGACTAATTTTTTGTATTTGTGGTTGGGGCAGAACCCTCAGACAGGGTTTTGCCATGTTGCCCAGGTGGGTCTCAAACTCCTGAGCTCAAGCAATCTGCCCACCTCAGCCACCCACAAAGCAAAAGTCATTCTTAATGTGCTATCAGCTGACAGCACCATCAGGTCCTCTGAATTTTGCTGCAACCAAGGAACTGGAAAGATCTCCCTGGTCCCAGGATGACAATGACTGGCCACTGTACTTGAGCAATGGGAGGATTTTATGCCCTGAGGCCTCACACCTTGGTCAGGTCTGCCTGCAAATAGAGTATGCAGTTCTCCTGCAGACAGCCAGTTTCTTGTGTGCCAGGCACAGTGCCAATTACTTTACCCAAATTAACTCAGTCATCACAATGGTGCCAGGGGGCCAGCACCATAATTATTCCCATTTTACACATGAGCAGAAAGACACGGAGTCATTAGGCAACTGGCCCAAGGTCACACAGACAGGAACCTGAACCCGGTGGCCCTGCGCCTCATCACCATGCACACTCCTCTGCAAAAGGTGGGAGGAGGAACGAGGTAAACAGGCACAGGGGTAGAGGGGAGGAGGACTCCCAAGCTCCTCAGCCTCAGGCACGGGCGCAAGAGGATACTGAGATCTGAAAAATCCACTTTCCTAAACATGCTTCCGCACCCACCTCGGGAAGGTGACACACAAATGCTTCCTTAAAGTAAACCCACAATGCCTGGTACACTGCAGTCCCCAGTAAACGTTAAACACTGGCACTGTTCCTATTGCCATTAAATAACAGGAAGAGACACAACTCCCATGACCAACCGACCTCCGGTCACCAGCGTTTTGCAGTCTTGAGTCCTGACACTCGGCCCCAACATCCTTTTTTTAAGATAGCACCCGAAGTCCAGGTACTGACAGGCATGTAAGCTTTTAGTAAATGGAGAACCTAGTAACATGCAAAGGAGATCATTCGGCAGAAAACCACAGGCCACAGGCTTTTGAGACAAACAGACATGCACTCAAATCCCAACTCCACCACTGCCAGCTGAAATCCCCAAGAGAAGGCACAGCTTTCTGAGCCTCAGTTTCCCCACCTCTAAGGGGTACTTAACACCATACCATCCCTGGGTGGCTGTACAGAACAGGAAATGCAGGCCAGGTGTGGTGGCTCACACCTATAATCCCAGCACTTTGGGAGGCCGAGGCGGGTGGATCACAAGGTCAAGAGATAGAGACCATCCTGGTCAACATGGTGAAACCCTGTCTCTACTAAAAAAATAAGAAAAATAAGCTGGACATGCTGGCACGCGCCTGTAGTCCCAGCTACTTGGGAGGCTGAAGCAGAAGAATTGCCTGAACCCAGGAGGCAGAGGTTGCGGTGAGCCGAGACCGCACCATTGCACTCCAGCCTGGGTAACAAGAGCGAAACTCTGTCTCAAAAAAAAAAAAAAAAAGAGAACAGGAAATGCCCCTCAGGGATCAGCCATAGGCAACACAGGAAGATGTCTGGCAGCAAGGGGACATACATCCTCTTCAGTCACCAGCACCTGAACCCAGAGGCTGGCAAACAACCCCAGCTCCTAGGACCCAGCAACCTGGAGATCTGGTGCACAGAAAGAAGCCCAGCTGATTTTGAAGAACCAGCCAAGTGGCTTGGCTTCCCATTTTTGCAGAGTCTTTCTCAACATCTTAAAATCTAAAAGTTCTCCAAACACAGGGATGTTGGGAGGAGGTGAACAGAGAGGTATCGTGGTAGGCTTTATTTTTAGATAGTGGAGTGGAAAATGTCCAGTTTGGCTTCCCTCTGGTCCCCAGCCACCACTTCCTCCCCCAGGTCGCCACTGAAATGAACAGCATACATGTCTAGAAAGATTGCGCAATGCTGCTTCTGCCCTGGACGTTCTGACACAATGGCTCCAGTCTCCTGTTCCTCCCACAGACCGAGCGAATTGAAGATTTCAGTCTCAATCTTCCCAGAAAGCCATATAAATGGAACTCACCAACCCCTGCCCATCTCTCATCCTCTCCTTGAGCAGTGAGGGTAACACCCACTGTGTGACAGTTTGAGGTTGCGTGTGAACAGGACCAGGCATGGGGGAAGGCTGTCTTGCCCTCTCGGGCAGTTTATTTGCTGGGGTGCGCCTGAACTCACTTCCTCTGAAAATGGCTCCCACAGCAGTTCCCCTATGGACCCCTCCAAGTGGCTCAGGGAACCACAGGGCAGCCTGGGGCCTTCCTGAGCACCGTGAGCCACAGCTGTCAGTCTCAGGCTTAATGTGGGTAAAGCAGCATCTGTAAAGGATCTGTGGATTTCCAAGTGAACCATCATAGAGGACTAAGGGGAAATAGAAGCCACAGCACCCTAGAGCAGCAACGGTTAGAGACCATCTAACCCCATGATGAAATGTACACCACATCTCCTCTTTCCGTGCCTGCACCCCCAGCAGGCATTATAGATCAACCCCTGTTCCCACCCATTCAGATTTAGTATCCTCCAGGTGGCCAAAACCAATCAATCAGAAATGGTCCCTGAACATACACCCCTAAGGCGTTCCTGAATTCCAATGTCTCCCACTTGATGATGGAGAAATTAAAGTCCACAGAAAAATGTAGTGCAGGTTGAGTGTGGTGGCTCACGCCTGTAATCCCAGCACTTTGGGAGGCTGAGGTAGGTGGATCACCTGAGGTCAGGAGTTCAAGATCAGCCTGAGCAACATGGTAAAACTTGTCACGATAAAAAATGCAAAAACTAGCTGGATGTGGTGGCACACACCTGTAATCCCAGCTATTCAGGAGGCATGAGAATCGCTTGAATCCAGGAGGCGGAGGTTGCAGTGAACTGAGATAGCGCCACTGAACTCCAGCCTCCACTCCAGAGCAAGACTCCATCTCAAAAAATAAGAAAAGAAAAAAGAAAAATCCAATGCAGATCATGCAATTTTGCAGAGTCAAGAAGAGCCTGTATGAAAATCTAGAGCTGCTGAGAGGCTTCCAGAAACTACCTCCTTACCCCGAAACAAATCTCTGCCTTCCAGTGACAAGTTCAACCCACAAACGACCAGGAGGAAGGCCACCAGTACCCTGTACCAGCCCCACCCATCAGCCAGCCCCAGTCTGGTCCCAGGAGCAGGGGAAACCTGGGGCCTGCGATGCTGAACCTGCAGGAATGGGGATGCCGCTCTCCTATGGCCGCTGAGGGAAGGCCTGGAGCTGAAGTCAACAAGGGTGGGCTGGAATAGCTCCCCAGTGGGCTTTTTGGAAGCCCCTTAGATATTCTACCAGGGGCCAGCACCTCCTCTGCCCTGATCTAGTCGCCAGCTTGAGTTCTCCTCTCTGCAGCTATAGGCAGATGAGGTCTGTAGGACAAGATGGGATGCCAGCCCAGCTGCACAGACCACAGAGTCACCCTCAATGGGGACAGCAAAGGCATCAGAAACCATGGCCAGGTCACCATCAGGTTTGCCAAGTACTCATGAGGCACCAGGTACAACATTTAGTGCAAATAACACAGCCTGCCCCTCACATAGAGTCTCAGAGTATTCTGATGTTTCCTTCCTCCCCCTCCATCCATCCTTCCCTCTTCCCTCCATCCATCCTTCCTCACCCTCCATCCATCCTTCCTTCTTTTTCCACCCATCCTTGTTTCTCTAGTTAATGAGCACCTGAAACAAATCCACCCAGGGGAGGCTACACAAAGCCCAAAACAACCGGACATGTAGCTGGGTGCCCCCTGCCCCCTCACCCTTCCCCACTGCCATGCGCACCTCCCTCAGGACTCCCAATCCAACCCTTGACCCCAGCCAGCGCCTCCACTGACAAAGCCACAGAAACCCTCCAAACCCAAGAAGCCCAATTGGAGTCTGCCCAGCCCAGGGCAGAAACCACATCAAATCCACAGGGGAGCTAAAAACAAGCTGCATGTGAGGAAGAGAGAGAGCTGCACCCAACACTGGAGGAGAGGAGAGGAAAAGAGGAGAAGAGGAGAGAAGGGGAGGAGGAGAGGAGGGGAAGGGGGAGGGGAAAAAAGGAGGATAAAAGAAGGGGAGGAAGGGAGCAGGGGAGGAGGGGAGGAGGGGAAGGGGAGGGGAAAAGGGGACAGTAAGAGGAGGGGAGGAGGGGAGAGAATGAGAGGAGGAAAGGAGAGGAGAGGAGGAGGGGAGGAGAAAAGGGGGGAGGAGAAGGGGGAGGGGAAGAGGGGAAGGGGGAGGAGGCAGCCAGCTACAGGTGGGAGGAGGTGGAGGGGGGGAGGGGAGGAGGGGGGGAGGAGGCACCCAGCTACAGGTGGGAGGAGGGGAGTGGGGAGGGGAGGAGGGGGGAGGAGGCACCCAGCTACAGGTGGGAGGAGGGGAGTGGGGAGGAGGGAGGGAGAGGGGGGAGAAGAACATGGAGAGAGGAGAAGATGGGGAGAGGAGGAGAGGTGGGTGCTAAGGGCCCCACTACCCGAAGAACCATGAGGATGCAGATTGTACTCACCTGCACAACTTCTATCCCTCGCTTCCTGTGGAACAAAACAAAGAAAACAAGTGTTACTGCAGCAGGCTAGACACATCCTTCCTGGAGGTTCCCAACAGCTGGCTGAGGGCAGGACCGTGTGGGGTTTCAGGAGGGAGCCAGCAGCTGCACCTTTCCTGCCACTGTGCCAGAATGGCCATGCCTTCCACTCCCAGCCACTCCTCAAACCACCTTCCCACTGAGAGGGCCAGCTCTGCCGAGGGACTTGCTGGAGTCCTCTGGAGGTAACATGCCCGCTACCCTCCCTCCACTCCTGGGCCCAGCCTCTGTCAGCCAAGCTCCAGCCTGGGTCATCCCAAGACTCCTGCCACCAAATTCATCACTGTCCCCACACACCTGCGGTCCCTGCTGAGCTCAGCACCCACAGCTCCCTATGTCTTCCCCATCAGGTCTCACCCCGAGACCTTCCACGGCCAGCCACATCCCAACCCATCCACTGCCTCACATGGGAGGCCCACGCAGTCCCGCCCACTGCCTTCTCAATGTCCCACCAATGCCTGCTCCGGCCTCGCCAATGGCCCCCAAGCTGCACTCATGTCCTCCACAACCTCCCTACACACACGCAGTCCCACCAGCCATCCAGGCACGTACCCTGACTCTTGCCACTCAATTTTAGGAGCTTTGTGGCCTGGAATGCACAAAGATTTTCTGCTGACTTCTACCCTTCTCTTCCCCACCCCACATTTCTACTTTTTTTTTTCTGAGGTGGGACTCTTGCTCTGTTGTCCAGCTGGAACGGGCTCACTGCAACCCCCGCCACCTCCCAGGTTCAAGCAATCCTTCCACCTCAGCCTCCCAAGTAGCTGAGACTATAGGCACCTGCCACCAGGCCTGGCTAATTTTTGTATTTTTAGTAGAGATGGGGTTTCACCATGTTGAACAGGCTGGCCTCGAACTCCTGACCTTGTGATTTGCCCACCTCGACCTCCCAAAGTGCTGGGATTACAGGTGTGAGCCACCATGCCCGGCCTCCCCCACACCACATTTCTTACTGTGAGCCCAGGAAGTGCCCACCGGTGCAGCTCCGGCACATAGGACTCTCTCCTCCTGGCCCTGGTGCCCACCTCCCACCCCAGCCTTGAGGATTGGCTCAGCACAGCCTCTCCAGGATGCCTCCCCGCCTGGAAGAACTCAAGGCTACCACTGTCTCAGCCCTTTGCTCTGGAGTACTGATTGCTATCAGCCAGGAACGAGTGCTGCCGTAGGGCCACCCAGACCTGCAGGGACTGAGGCGCCCAAGATGGCATGCCGTGTGCATTGTGCTGGGAAGAAAGACCTCCAACAGATGCTCAGAGATGGCTGCTGCCAGGCAAGGTCAGGAATCTGTGGTTTACTCACCCAAGCTCCTTGGAGAAGGGACTATGCCAAACTTTAAAGCTATGTGTGCCCATGCCCAGCTATGATGCCCACCTGGCACACAGATGCTCCTTAATGGTTGCTGGCAGATGAAGGCGTAAATGGTAACAATTTAGTTCAGCTCCTGGGCCCAGCACTCAGAGGGTACAACAAATGCAACCTCCACAGTCTGGGCCCTTGAGAGGCTCAAAGTCTTAGGAAGTAAACGAGCACAAGCCCCAAAAGAACCTTTGGACACCCCTGCTGCCTTGCATCATGGCACAGCTGAGGCACTGCCCACTAATTCGTACATCTGTTTGTCAGCTCATTCAGCAAGGGCTTCCTTAGCACCTTCTGATAGCAAGACACTGAGCAGAATCTCACAGAGGAGCACTCTATGAGTCAGGAAGACAGAGGCCAAGGAGAGCTGACCACATCCCACTGTGGGAAGCACCCAGCCCACCTTCCCTTGTACCCCCAACACCTCAACCAAAACCTGGACCCAAGGAATCCAGTTTGAGAATCACCCTAGTTGATGCATTCAGGCACCCTCAGTGTCTCTTAGCTGCTCTGCAGTTCCTGTAGGAATGGTGGCCAATATCCATCTGCTTCCATGATTTCAAGAGACACAGCACAGCACGGTGACAGATAGCATCATGAGGAACCTGTGCTATACCCAACCATCTGCTCACAACATGTACCGTTTCTGAGCACCTGTGGACACCTCAGCCCCTGCCTCATTCCCAATCATCCTAGCCTTCCTGGAGGCTTGAGGAAGCTGAAGGAAGCATCACTGACAGGAACCTGCCCCAGGACACACAGCAGAGGACCTTGGGGAGCCAGCCCCAACTCCAGCAACCCTGCTCCAGAAGGGAAAACTCAAACCCCAAATCACCGAGAGTGTGAAGCGGACAATGGGAAAGGCCGGGGACAGAGGAGCGCCAGTGACCCACACCGGTTGGAGCAGACTTCCACTGGGCTTTGGGCCAGGGCCTCGGTTTCCCTATGAGTCAACTCTGCTGACATCCAGGTTATCCCAGCATGTGACTCTCGTCTCTTTACTGCAGTCAATTCCAATCAGTCCACATTTTACATCATCCCAGTCAGCTCTCCCTCCCTTAGTCCTAAAAAAACAGTCTCTCACTCTGAAAACAGATGGAACACACAAAATAGGAAAGCAACAAAAAAGTAATCTAGAGAAAAGATCTTAAGTGGGGTTGAGCTCCCGGGAGCCACTGCAGTTCCTCTGTAGATCAGAGCTCCAAAAAATGGATAAATTGCAACACTGGCAGAAAAGAGTGGGCCATGCACGGACACTACATACCCCTTGAAGCTCACCACTCACTTCTGCAGCCTATGAGGGTGGGACGGGTGGTTACCCCATTACCCACAGAGCAAGCTCAGGCCTGGGACAGCTGGCCTGGAGCAGGGCTCTCCCCACACCCAGGCGTTCACCACCAGATGCACCATAGTGGGCGGGGGTGGCACCAAGCAGGGCAAGCCTAGTCTCCAGCCTCCAGGGCCTCAGTGCAATGGAAGGACCAGGAGGCGGCAGGCAGAAAACCACATCCCCTCTGGTGGGAATCCCACACACAGCACCATAGCCTCTCGGGAAAATAAAACAACCTGTCAGGGCTCATTTCTCATCGGGAACTCCTGGAGAACAAAGGTACTAACAGCCTTGATGCCCTAAGAAGCACGTTCCTGAAGTCCTGCCATAACCAGAAAGTTCAGAAATTGAATGATGAAACCAAAGGGGAAGAGGGAGAAGGGAGGTACATGGGGGACAGTGGGAGAGAAGGGGAACCAGAGCACTGGTTGTCAAGACTGTTCCTCCTGAAAACCCTGACTCCATGATCCCACCTCAGCACCCCACAGACAGGCTCAAGTGTGTAATATGCTTCCGGCTCTGCACTGTTAAATCACCAAACTGTATGTGACGGCAGCAAACTAAACTCCAAGAGGGGACCTTAACAAACCACACAGCCAAAGGAATAGTACACAGCAGTAAAAAGAACGCAGAAGGCCAGGCAAGGTGGCTCATGCCTATAATCCCAGCACTTTGAGGTCAAGGTGGGCAGATCACCTGAGGTCAGGAGTTTCAGGCCAGCCTGACCAACAGGGAGAAACCCTGTGTCTTCTAAAAATACAAAATTAGCCAGGTGTGGTGGGTGCCTTTAATCCCAGCTACTTGGGAGGCTGAGACAGGAGAATCACTTGAACCTCGGCAGTGGAGGTTGCGGTGAGCCAAGATCGTGTCAAGAGCAAAACTCCATCACAAAAAAAAAAAAAGAACCCCAGAAGCCCTCCATGTACCCACAAGGAATTCTCTGCAAGACATTGCTGTGTGAAAAATCTCAGGTGCAAATCATGTGTGCTGTATATAATTATGTGTTGAGAACAACATCCGGGACAAGCATGTGTACCTGAAGCTGCTACAGGGAAACCATAATGGCAGGGCCCCTGGTCAAGGGCAAGGGCAGCTGGGATGGCAGAGGGACTTCCTTTTTACTGTGTCCCCTCATACATCACTTCAATTTTGTGCCATGTGCCTATAACATGTTATCAAAAACTAGAAAATATATTCTTTAAATTGTTTCTTAAATAGATGCTTGATTAAAGCACGAGGCAATCAATGAATGACGCAAGACAGGAGAGCTCAGGGTATATCGTGAAAAGCCTCCAAGTGTTGCCCAAAGAGGAGCTGAAATGTTGGCTGCTGAGGGGACCACCAGGCTGCAGCACTCGCTGCGGATTCTAAGGCCATGGAAACGTTCAGGTACCTGGAAAACAGACTGAGGAGCATGTGCTGCAGTGTTAACTGTGGCCTGGGGCTGGGTGATGCCAACAAAGTGCTGTGGTTTTTTTCCTTCATACTTCCCAGTTTTGTTTTGTTTTTTTCTGAGACGGAGTTTCACTCTTGTTACCAGGCTGGAGTGCAATGGCGCGATATCGGCTCACTGCAACCTCCGCCTCCTGGGTTCAGTAATCCCAATTCTCCTGCCTCAGCCTCCTGAGTAGCTGGGATTACAGGCACGCGCCACCATGCCCAGCTGATTTTTTGTATTTTTAGTAGAGACAAGGTTTCACCATGTTGACCAGGGTGATCTCGATCTCTTGACCTCGTGATCCACCCGCCTAGGCCTCCCAAAGTGCTGGGATTACAGGCTTGAGCCACCGCGCCTGGCCACTTCCCTGTTTTTTTTTAAGATTTTCTACATGAACATATATGCTACTCTGAAAACTACAGGGAAAGTAACAATAAAACTTACAATTTTTAAGTTTTCTTAAAAACCTGCAGCCGTGGCCTGATGCAGTGGCTCACGCCTATAATCTCAGCATTTTGGGAGGCTGAGGTGGGCAGATCACGAGGTCAGGATATCAAGACCATCCTGGCTAACACGGTGAAACCCTGTCTCTACTAAAAATACAAAAAAAAAAAAAAAAAAATTAGCCAGGTTTGGTGGCATGCACCTGTAGTCCCAGCTATTCAGGAGGATGAGGCAGGAGAATCACTTGAACCCAGGAGGCGGAGGTTGCAGTGAGCCATGCCACTGCACTCCAGCCTGGATGACAAAGTAAGACTCCACCTCAAAAGAAAAGAAAAAAAAAACAGGCTGCCAGGCATGGTGGCTCACACCTATAATCCCA